GTCACACTGGACCAATATCCAAACACAATCACACTCGGGCAAAATCAGCTTTTGGTTAACTGCACTCAGCTTACCATTTCCTGCTTTCGTGGGTTTAGCTGGCAGGTGGGAAGGTCAAATCGGGGATATGAGCTTTTAAGGTGTATTTCAGGTCTGTGGTCAGCCAGCTTATGAAATGCGCCCCACAGTCACTGACGTGGGAAAATGTGTATATGCGTTATGAAGTTTTGCTATCTGATCTTCCTCCTACACTAGCTCCTCCGGCTCTGCGGCTTACACTTGCCTCCCGGGGGATGATAGCTTATATGTGAAAAAAGTAAAAATAAATAAAAAAAACATTCAACTGAGAACACACGAGGGGTGGACAAATGGAAAGGGGGATTTTCTGTTGTTGTTTTTTAAAGACTTCAGAACCGTGGGAACTCTAATGTTGCCTGCTGTTACATATAGAGACAGCTGAGGGAAAAAAGGGCTTGAAGATGACAAAGTGGCTGAACATTGAGAGTAAACAAGCAGAAATGATGAGGCACATCATGGTAGCCTGCTTACTGAGATGTGGGGTTATGACTAAGTGGAAATGAGGTTAATGGGTGGCATCTGAGAGCATGAGATGTCTGCACAGGAGAGGAAATTCTTAAATGAAATTTATAAGTTCTGCAAACTGTGTCTTAAATAAACAGCAGACAACACACATTCTTAGAGAGTCTAATATCCACTTGTATATAAACTAAAGAAGTCACTATCTTCTTAAAAATAACTTTAATGATTGTTTTGTGTAAGGTATGTATCCATGTCATTTACGTCAATGTATAATTATTATAATATAATTATGTGTAACTGTGAGTCCTATAGGTGTTTAGCTCCTCCAGGTTTTCTGTGCAAGTGGTGTAAATCCACTGTTATTAATGACAGGCAAAGGGAGCTGCAGCTTGCAGTATGTGCGAGCAAGCTCTCATGAGCCAAGCAATGATGAGAAATAAACCACCCGAGATAGTCCTGTACTGTTATATGTATTGTTGCCTTGTTTTATGTTGTGCTTTGATTTGCCAAACACTTTGTTAGGTGCATCTATCAACTGATCATTAAGGCAAATGTCTAACTGGCCAAACACATAGGAGCCAATAACATTTAGACATTTAAGCATGGCCAAGAAAACCTGCTGAATTCCAACTGAGCATCAGAACGGGGATTCAGGTGAATTTAAATAAAATTGGGAAAATTTGCCTTGCCTGAATAGTTTGGATTTATGCTGCAATTGTTGGTGGTGTAATGGTGTGAGAAACATTTATTTGCACATGTTGGACCCTTTAGCCTTGAGTATTGTTGCTGACGTCTCTGCATCTGACTTCACTGCAACATATACATTTTCCAGTAGCTGTTTCTGGCAGGATAACATACATTCCCACAAAGTTCAAATCATCTAAAACTGGTTTCTTGAATATGATATATGACAGTGCATTCAAAGTACTCAAATACTCTCCACAGTCACCAGCTCTTAATCCAATAGAGCAGCCAGCATATCTTCAGCAACTCTGTGAAGCTACCTTGTCAATATGGAGTGGTGTAACATTTGGAAGATATTTTTTTGGTGCACTCTGGGTGGCTGACAAGATTTAAATTTCTGAATGTACCTGAGTATTGCTGACAAACACTCCTTTATAACCAGCATGTACCCACCTTTTGATGGGTGCAAGATAACATGCTATGTCACAAAATCAACTCAGACTGGTTTCCTGGACATGACAATGAGGTACTTAAATTATTCAAATCATCATCTCCACAGTCACCAGATTTCAAGCGATTCATGGCATGGATATGCAACTGAGAGTTGCAGCTCCATAACATAGAGGTTAGCACATTTGGCTATCACATAAGAGATCCCTAAGGACTAAGAGGAGACAAAAATCCCTGGGAGGGTTGCATCAGGAAGGGAATTTGGTGTTAAAATCTCTCCCAAATCAAATATGATTATCCATCTGCTTTGTGACCACTTGTGAATGAGGGAGCAGATAAAACAAAATTATGTGCAGCTGGCATCTGTGTGATGCAATCATGTCAAAATGAACCAAAATCACAGAGGAATGTTGCTAACTCCTTCTTGAATTCATGCCTTGAGGAATTAAAGTAGTTCTGAAGGAAAGGGGGGGATGAAACTGCTGGCAAGGTGTACCTAATTAAGTTTATATTGTATACCTGATCAAGATAATAAAGTTAACTTTGATGTGACAGATCCACAAATAATACATGAGTTAATATTATGTGGCATAATTAGCTGATTAAGTAGTTTAACAAGTTAGCTGGACAGCAAGTATTTCCTCCCAGATATTAGTTTTCTTCAGGTATCAAGCTAAGGTTGGCCAAGTAGCTGTAACTTGGTTACACTGCGGGAATTTAGTTATTTCACACCAGATCAGCCCCCTGAATTTTGATGACCTGCCTGACCCCATCCACAGAAAACAAAATTTATCAGCCTGTGTTTAATCTACAAGAAATGCCGAAAAACATTTTCTTCTGTGATAATGTATTTATTCATATTTAATATCAAAACACACTTTTTAAATGGAAATGGAAATTAATCCTTCCATGTGTTTTTTAATTTGCTAATAACTGGACATATTAGAAATCTCATAATTAATGGGGAGGATGTTTTGAGGAATTTTGGTTATCTTTGTGTTGGAAGGGTTTGAAAAGGTGAATGTAGGCCCTGTGTCAGCAACTCAGAGAAAAAATGATGTATGGATAAGGAACGGTAGGGACGTGGGTGGGGTCAAACACCAAATCTTTGTTGCTAGGGATGTCTTCACTTAGTTTGTGTTGCTAGGCTGCCAATTCCCTCATGTTAAGTGGAAACATTTCCCCCCTTCTGCTCCGTCCAGGCACCTCACCGCTCCCTCCCTCTCTTTCTCCTCTAAACCAAAATAACTTCACCAACCATCTGTCACTGGGCTCACAGGTCTACTGTTGCTTAGGAACAAGTCGGGCACTCACATTCATGTATGCATTCTCATATGAATATATTTTCATCTACAGTTATACTAACAATAACCTCCAGTTATGTCTCTTCCTGTGACTGGTGCATCAATGAAATCTGAGGCATTCACAGGAAAGCCTCTGATGCTCTGCTGAGTTTGAAGTTTAAATATGCAACAGGTTAATGAAGTCTAAGAAGCTTCTAACGTGCAAAACTTCTTGAAAAACCACTTAATAATGACACGACGAGCTCTTTGTACTTGTGCGTCAGAATTTGCTAATTAGTTCAGAAGAATAACTGAAGTTTCCTCCTGCTGATTTTGCAACTACTTTTTCATCATTTGCACATTCTTTGAAGTTCTGTAGTTTAAAGCCTCAAGGAAGCATTGGTACATATTGACAGAGAGATTAGGTGTTAGTACAAGCTGCTTTCTATAATCACACTAAAGTGAATAATAGAACAAAGTCAGATTGTACAGCACTGATTTATATGCTGGCAATCAATTTGCAGCAACCAAATCGAAAGGCTAATGAGATGATTTGATCTTATTGTACACAAAAAACTACTCATTGTTCTTCTGTTGTCAGCCATTAATAAATTATCTGAAAGTAAACCACCCCCAGGCTCATGGAAAGTATTTGTGATTGAGCGAATCATTGTTTGTACACATGCCTGTCAGTCGCTGGCTGAAAGCTGCTTACCCAGAAATCAGGAGCACCCCAAATTGAATTTCATGGCCTTTGTTTTTAGACAAACAGAAGATTAATCTGACAGACTCTGCACACAACTCTTGGTAAGTTTTATAATGTGTGAGGATGACTTTTCTTTTCTTTCATTAATCTGCTGAAATGTATCGCGGTTATCTCACAACCAAACAAGTGAGGTATTAGAATAAAATAGAAAAAACATTTTTTTCTTTGCTTTAAAATTTGAATGTGCTCATGCATAACTGTGTCGTATATCAGCAGTTTGAGGAAGTCACAGCAGCTGTGAGATAATAAATATTAAATCGGTGCCTATTCAGCCAAAGCAGCTTAATACTCTCTACTTTGATTATAGTACTTCTTTTCAGCAATTTTTAAAGGTTAATTTCTGATTAAAACTCCTACATTGCAATAAGAAACTACACAAATACTTTCATATATTTTGTCACTGACCAAAATGAAACCTCACATTATGTGTGAATGAGTGAAGGAGGATAACATTATTAATATAGAAAGATATTCCAGTATATTAAAAAATCTTTAACTGATACAATTGCATGAAAGCTCTCATTTCTGTTTCATGCCACCAACAGTTTACACCTGAACGTCAAAGTAATATTTGAGTAACACATTCCAATAAATATGAGCTCAGAAATTTAATTTCAGCAGCAGCCTGGAGGAAAACACAGAGAAGTTTATTAGCTCAAGTCTTCATTTCCAAGTTACAGCTTGCAAATACTGCTGCCTCTCTCACCTCCTAAACCACAGTCACATCTTATTCAGAAACAACAACAACTAAAAAAAAAACCCCAATTAGAATCAATTAACACCTGTCATTTATTTTTCAGTGCAGGCGGTCAACTTATTTCTCACTGAACACAGTGTTCATCCAGGTAAATATTTTCCCAAGAAGCCACCACAGTTAATATATGCCCCAATCAGTACTAGGGAGATTTATACAGCCTTTAAAATGTGCATACATGGATACTATGTTCCTCAAGGAGATCAGAATATCTTTTAATAAGCAATTTAACCCCATTTGTGGTGTACCTGAAATACATTTACATGCTTTTTAACAAACATCTTCATATTTGTTAAGCTAGAACTGTTACACTACTCAGATCCGTATAAAAACAAACAAACAAACAAACAAACAAACAAAAACAATAAAAATGAATTTGAAACAGGTGGCAGTAAAAAACAAGTAGGGAAAACTATTTTCTTTCTTTCTTTTTTCTTTCTTTCCTTCCTTCTCTCCTTTTTTGTGTATTCAGTAGCGCTTTATGGAAAGCCACCTGACCGCATTCTCTATTGAGGAGCGGTGTTGTGGTCCACGGAGAATTCATCATCACTTTAAAAGGCACGAGAGATTTGGCACAGTGGAAGAAAACGCTCGCAGGCGAGCTCGGGTGCGCAGGGAGTGTCTCTTAATACACCATCGGGGAACACCATTTTGCACCTTCCTTCCTGTGCAGAAGACTCGCTAAGACTTAGAGAAACTTGGACTCTGAATTAAAGAAACTTACCATAGTTGGGTTATTACTTGATCGACACTCTCTGACTGTAGCGGTGCGGTGATGTGGATGTGGTCATTACGCACTCAAGCTTTGGCAAACCTCGATGTTTGGCTGCAGAACTGGACTTCAAAAGCTAGTTATTTCTCGATACCTTCCTCTTATTTTTTGTCTCAGTAGTCATATGACACTAAGTTTTGCTCGGTGTCGGGGTTTTATAGTGAAACTCTCTGCCTACCATTTGGAGTCGCGTGATTTGCTGCTAACAACCCACAACAAAAGATGAATGTTTCCCTCTTCAACGTGACCCAGGACGCAATGTTTAACGGCAGTCAGAGCCTCGCTGGGACACTGGCAACATACTCCGGCAATGCAACCGACAGCGTGGTGACCGGCGACGGCGGAGGGTCCCTGGTACTGCTGCAAGACGAGCGCAAACTCTTCGTGATGCGTGTGGTGCAAATCGCAGTGCTGTGCGTGTTGTCACTCACTGTAGTGTTCGGTGTATTTTTTCTTGGGTGCAACCTGATGATTAAGTCGGAAAGTATGATTAACTTTCTGGTAAGGGACCGGAGACCCTCCAAAGACGTGGAAACTGTTATGATTGGGCTCAGCTAGTTCACCTAGGTGGAGAGATGGATGGAGAACCGGTATGGAGATCTGTTGCACATTTCGAACAGCAGATCAAGATCTACATCTGCATGTACTTATCAAAGTGTGTCCTTGTGACTAAGATATGCAAAAACATGACCTACCGAAAAAAAAGGACTACAGGAAAGTAGTCCAACGACCAATGTTTGTGCGTAAAGTCTGTGCGTAAAATAAGGGCAGCTGTTTACACGTGGGCCGATCTGTTGAATATTTTGAGTGAATTTGTCGTTGCCAACTTGAACAAAGTAAAAAACATGTTTACAAGCCGTTACCTCATTTTTGATTTGTTTTTTTTTTCTGGTAAATTTCGAATGATTATTAATATTTGGTTTTAAAAAAAAAGTCCAAAAGCATGATTGTGAATTTTTATAGTTCCACGCCTGCCAGTGTACTCTGTGGACGTGATGGATGTGTATGTGTGTATTCTCTATACAAAGTTTTGTTTGTTTTTTTTCTTGTTCTTGCTTGGTACACCTTGAGTATGAAAAGCCTTTAGGGTTTTCAACAAACTTCGTTACAGCTTTATGGAGTGACTCTGGTCCTACTTGGCATGCTCGCTAACTGCTCTGTAAAGTGACTTTGGATCTGTTTTGCACTTTGAAATCATCGATGCTGCATGAATTATTTTGTACCAAAAACTTGAAACTGCGGCATGCAAGTAAAAAGTTGTAACAACTATTTTAAGCTTTGTCAACTCTTAATTAATTAGCACTTTGTATTATTTAATTGTTTTTAAACAGAACATGTTCAGAAGAAAAGGCTACAGTGGTATTTCTCTTGTAATTGCATTTTGAAGTCTTTTTTAAAAAGTATTTCTCCTTAACATTCAGTTGTGATTAATCCTGTGCTATACAGATCTCTGAAGAACCTTGTTTACCTTCTTTTAAAAAATGTGAGCTCAGATCTGACCAGACGTGTGGAATAACCTTTCTGTCCTTTCACATTACATCAGATTGTTGATTATTCACAAAGTAAAAGCATTATATCAGTGATATCCTGATGTAGGGGCACTTTAAACATTCACAGGGTAATTTTTATGTATGGAAAGAAAAATTACAATGACTAAATGACATAAAATTCTTATCGTAGGTGGAGTTTGAAAAGCAGTATCTGTCCAAAATACAGCTACAGACATCCAAGAACTGCTGTAATTAATTTAATACACCTTTTTCCCTTTAATAGTACATCCCTCTATTTTCTCAGCCAAAATATATCATTTTCTATTTGAGTTTTAAACAGAGAAAAAGATTTTGGGTTTCCACTGAATTCATCTCAGCATTTTGAATCAATTTATCTTCTCTTTCTTATATGTATCGGCATCTTCTCCTCTTTCTCTCTGATGTACCCCACTCTGAAGGAACCGATGTTCTCATTATTTTTTCAGTACTTGTTAGGAGAGCTCGGGTAGATGAATCCTTACAAATACACCCATGCATTCACACCTGTGTCCACTGACCATGCACACAAGACAGCGTGTTCAACAGACCATCAAACTCTGACAAAGGTATCTCAGACAAACACTATGAATTAATAAAACACATTAGATAATTAGACTTTAATGGCTAAGAACAGCTCCACACACTATTTCAACACAACATGAAAACCTGTATTTAAACATCTGGATATTGATCGGTGGAATAGTTCAGATCAAGATGACCACAAAAATTGTATAATATAGCCAAGAGAAAATAATATGGAAGCATAAATGATTAAACTTTATAGGGATCAGTGTCATGTTTTCTTACAGACAGGTAACTGCAGTGTGTGGTGTATCCAGACTTTCTAAACAGGAGATCAGATGACTTCGCTGCTTTCATTTAGTAGAGAGAATTTCTATTAAAACATTTATTTTTACTTAATCTTTTCTTCCAAATCCTTTAATTTTGTCAATACTCTGAAAAAGAAAATCCAAAATTATCCTGGTATTGTTCTCATAAATGTCTACTGGATACAGGGAGGCACATGTGAATATTATTTATCATTTATATATTAACTGTCGTATAACAAGCCACACACTAAACACACGAAAACACCTCACACCACATCTCAAACCTCCCCATAGCATTAACTGTATGGTTGTTATAATCTGGAAACCACAGCAACAAGTGGGCTCTATTCAAAATGATCTTTTAGTTCGTTACAGTAAAATATAGATCTATGCAATTTTTTTATGGAGTAAAATACATGCAGTTATTCAGGAAACATGCCCTATAGGTTGTAGGAGACACGTAAGGTGTTCGCTTGTACAACAAGACAACAAAAAGGTGAAGCAAATAATGTGAATAACTGGTAATATGACACTTACTTGCATAATCAGTTGGCCTGCATGTGAAAATAAGAAGTTACAAATTCTATTCATTTGCAGATATTTTCAAGCCAGTAATTGTACCGCTCAAACGATGAACAGTTCAAAGTATATCCCCTTTCTTTGAATCTTCTCTAATGTTCTCACATAAATGCTTATTCTCTTGACTTGGCTGAGTGCCAATTAAAATTACTTACCTTCTTGCCAAAGACCCACTGTGAACTGTCACATTATGAGCACTGCTAGTCGCCCACTATCACAGATGCATATGTTAAAGAGTTACCACGGAGCAAAATCCGCGTGTCTACAATCTGTTGTCAGTGTGCATCTTTATAGTGATTCTCGTCATCACCTGAATGATCTGAGACAATTTTAGAATATTGTTTAGAGAAGAACATCATGTGCTGTTACTGGGCCTGCAGGTTGAACTTTACAAGGAAACATAATTATGATTGTGACTAAGACTGCGTCAGCTAAGGTTGACACATGGTTAATTAATACAAGTGCATGAAGAGGATATTAAAAGGCTAATGTAGCAGTGCAGGAACAACACATTAGCATGTTATCCCTTCACCCCAATCAAAATGTGTGCACTTGTGTCTTTGGCAAGGGTTTGTCGCGTTTCAAGATCTCTCTCCAAAAGTGTACATTTGACTGTCAAGAAGCATCACTGCTGACCTTTTACAACACAGACCTCACAAAAAAATAATGAACGGTGTACTGAACTCATGACAGAAATACAGGCGATTAAACTGGCTGTGGCATTCGACCATAACAAAGATAGCTCTCACGTGAAGCCTGCCTTTAAGCGAGAATCTTTTTGAAATCTCTGTGAAAGTGTCTTGTTCTGCCATCTATTTGTCAGCACGAGCGGCGTTGCGTAGATAGCCATTTTTTATTCCCTCGGCATTTTTGATTAGGGGGCAAGACGCACAAAAGATCTGCTCTCTATGCCGACGCAGGTCCCACAAGGATGAAGTGGCCTTTCACAGACCCATTCATTCTGTTTCTAATGGGATGTGCTGTATTCAAAGGAGGAAGTAATAATACATGCAATGAAGATGAGGAATGGAAACGGTATCTCATATCTCACACAGGTGGATGTAAACAGTCTTTTTCTCTTTCTCTCCCTTAGGTGCATGAACACAATAGAAAAAGTACGACTTGGCAGTCATTTCAAAAGATGTTGCATGACCTCTCATTTCCATCAAAATCAGTGGAATTTTTAAAAAAAACGGGGGGGGGGATTTAGTGTAAACTCATAGGCATCTGTGCACAAAGGTGCTGATATGCCCTCAAATAGACTCACTGCCTTTTCTCCACATCATCCATGCAAATTGTGCCACGTGCCATTCAGCAGGGGACCAACAGTCCTTAAATTCAAGTTCATGAATCTTTAAATCAACCTATTATGTGCAGGCAAATGAACAACAAACAACGAAACTGCCTCATTCAGTACCCACAACACCAAGAATTTGAAAAGTTTCCCACATACACACACACACACACACAC